CATTGAATTATAGCCCACGAAGCGAAAGAGGATGGTTTTTAACTGCAACTGTTTCAAAGAGGGGAGCGCTGCTTTGATGCACAATACCTGGGCTGAGGTAGTGTGCATCCACAAGTGCTGAACAGCCAGCTGTTTCTGATTTATTAGTGTTTCTTTGTTGGCTGGAGTTAATGAAGGTATTACAAAGTTGGTTTGAATGTCTGTATGATGGCAGTTTTGGAAAGTACATGTGAGAGGGTGTTCAAATCTCTTCATTTATATTTGATTTAAACTCTTGTGGTCAGTGGTTTACAGTGTGTGTGTGTGTGTGTGTGTGTGCGCGCATGTGTGTGTGTCTGTCAGTACATCTTATCTCTGCAGTGGGAAAACTGACGTGTCACTCTGGTTATTCCTGAGCCTGCTGGAACAGTTCATATAGTAGCAGGTGATGTCTTTTAAAAACCCACCAAACCACAGCCACATGTCCTAGTCACTCCATGTATATTACTCATCCTGGAGGCATGTACGCTACACACACGCACACACACGCACACTCAACCACACCATCTTTTTTTTCCCCTCTTGTTTTTAAAAGAGCTGTTGAAGTTGTAAATTCACTCGTCAGCTCAGCAAGCTCCTCTGTTTATAAGCAGCGAACGTGAAGTGCGTGAACATTTAGTGAGAAGTGGGTATTCGAACTATAACTTTTAAGTCACGTAACTGCTTTAGAAAAGTACATAAATGTTTTAATCGTATTTAAGTGAGGAAATAAAAAATTGTCCATAGTTTCTTTTACTTTTTTTTACTTTTTCTTTTTAACGGTCATAAATTACATTAGTTATTACAAATATATAAAAAATGTAATGTCATTATATTCACCTACAAATACTTAAAGGTAGGTAAAGGGCAATAAGGGGTTAACAAGTAATGTTTTTACAGGAAACAAAGAAAGAATTATGCTGTAATGTGTTGGTAATTTTAGGTAACGTGAGTCATTTTAGTGCTACTTAATTTCAGGTGTTTTACAGGAAGGGTGACAAATTATTCTGTAAGTAATTTTAAGTACTGCGTAATTTCTTGGTAATTTTGTGGTTAAACAAGCAATATTTCCCCGTCTTACATTGCAAGTAGTCGAGTAGTGGAGCCTTTTAACTTTACCTAACTTCCAGGTATTTTACAAGAGAGGAGACACTCCTTTTGAAAGTTATGTTTGAACAATGATTGTAAAAGGGAAAAAGAATTAAGTCAGACTCAGTGATTGTAAGGTCGTGATGGCCTATAATAGTGATGGCATGTAATTTTTTCTTCTTGTAAGTTAAAGGAAAACAGTCCTTATCGCATTTATATTGGTAAAATAAAAGAAGAGTTGAATAAAAGAACATCGTGCACAGCAACATGGCGACTATTAATATGGTCTTGTAAGAACCTGACTTATTTTAGCAGGCCTGCCCTTAAATATTCACTTTCAAATAAAATAATTAAAATTCCATTTTGTTACAAGGATATTGCACAGGTATAAAAAGTGTTAATAAGCATGCTGCACTTGGCTATATTATGTTATCTTTTTCCTAGAAAGTTGCTTCCAAGTTATTTTCAGTCATTTGCTTGGAAGTTGTAAAGATAACATGTATTCCTGAGCACTAGTGTTTATAATCTGCTCTTAATCCAATACAGTGGAGGGTTCAAACCAGTTACATTTCTTCCAGTTTTCCTCTAATTCTGCTTGTCAGACTACATCACTGCTCTGTCCATCTGCATGAAATGGCTGAAGTAGCTGTGTAGTTATCATTCCTGAGGTCTTGTGAGTTTAGTCTCAGTCATTTGATCTTTAGGAGCGTTTGTACGACCTTTATCACAGAGGTGGTCCCTCCCTGTGGAGACTGCGTCTAGTTGCGTGTCGCAAGTTAGCTGCACTTGCATTAGGACCACACGTTAACCTGCTTCTCTCTTTCTTCCCTTTTGTCTCTGGCCTCATAATTATATATTTTTTCTCCTGGACTTTTTCACTGATGATTGACAAACAGGGATTTGATTTAGAACATGACAGGAACGTTAAAAGGCAACAACCTTGGCTAATTTTATAAAGCCAACATGACAACTGACATTTAAGCTAGACAAAAAAAAAGAGTGTTTAAAATCAAGTTAAGAGGGCCTTTCAGAGGAACTAATCGTGAAAGGAAACGGTTTAATCAGAATGAAATGGTTAACTCCAGTTGTTTGTTAGTCATTGAGGAACACTCACTACTTATCTGACCTCTTTCTCATTCCCCCTAAGGTTCAGTTAGAGGTCCTGTGCCTCGCCACGACTATTTTTAAAGTAGCCTGAAAGCCAATCATTGGATGGATGGACGGACACACACACAATCCCACAGGCCCTTAAACAGGTGCCAACTTCTGTGCCGAAAAGTGTGGTGTGGTGTGTTGTGGTGGGGTGTGTGCACGGGGAGTGACTGTCGACTGGTGTGGCAGGAATGCGTGACCTTGCCAGCCTCTGTCGCCGTTTGGCTTTGATCAAACATTCCTATGGAAGTTTCCTTGTGCTGTCACCGAGCCGCAGGGTAGTGATATGGATCGGTGTGCTTTTTTTTCTTTTTTTTAATCTTGTTTTGTTTGTTTTTAAGTTATTTTTTCGTTGTTTTTTTTTTTTCACCCTGTGTGTCCCTGAGTTTCATGTGAGGGGAGGGTGCAGCTTTGGGTGTGCAGCTTTGGGTGTGCAGTTAGCGCGTCCTGCCTGTGCCTACGCAGGTTCTCCTGTATAACCCAACAGTCCAAATACTTGCATGTCGGGTTAACTGATGATTCCAAGTTGGCTGTGCACTTGAATGTAAGTGTGATTGCTTGTCTGACTCTCTGCGTTAGGTCTAGTGACCTGTGCAGGGTGTGTCCACCCCCCTACCCCGTAACAGCTGACATAGGCTCCCGCCCTCAATGACCCTGAATTTGATAAGCAGTTAGGAAAATGGATGGATAGGCCAGTTTAGCCTTTGGGTTTAACTTGGGATTTAGCAATTGGTAGCAACTATGGAAATGAATTTTTCACACATGAAAGCCAATGGTTCTCCTCAGTTGTAGCTGATTCTGGTTGGGTCTTAAACCGTTCCTCTGGCAAACAAAATATTTGATGTCATCCTTTGGTTTGGGATAGTGTCTTTTGTTGTCTGTCAGAAAAATCCATCTGTCCATGCAGATGGACAGATGGATTTTCTGTCCATCTGCATGGACCTCCTGAGCTACAGCCATGGGTGGCTGTAGCTCAGGAGGTAGAGCAGGTCACCTACTAATCGGAAGGTTGGTGGTTCGATCCTTGGCTCCTCCAGTCTGCATGTCAAGTATCCTTGGGCAAGATACTAACCCCAAGTTGCTCTCCGATGCATCCATCGGAGCATGAATGTGTGTGAATGTAGGTAAATAGCACTAAGTATAGATAAAGTGCTTGTGAGAATGGGTGTGATTGGGTGAATGTGGCATGTTGTATAGAGCACTTTGAGTGCTCCAAGAGAGTAGAAAAGCGCTATATAAGAATCAGTCCATTTACCATTTACCATGCGCTTAAGCAGGTTATGAGAGCATGTGTTAGAAAAATATTCAGTAAATTAATTCATAATGAAAAACGTCAACTGAAGCTGTTGATATATACGGATAATCTTAGGTTTATTGAGCCTCCTGTGGGAGTTTGTTTTGCCGAGGCCAGCGATGGAGGGAGGATTGAAGAGAGGTTTGATGGATTGTTCTCTAGTGAGGTAAGAGATTGTTTGCACTTCCAAAAGCCAGGAGGAGAGAAAACAGAAGGAACCTACTTGTTGTTTGATTTGTGGTGAAAATGTATTTTACAGTAGGAGACAAATTTATTATTTTTGTGGGGGATAAGGAACAAAGAAGTGGTTCTTGATGGTGGTTAATAGAAGCAAGACAAATTGACTGACGAGTACAAAGTGTTGTGGGTTTTGGTGAGGTGCTTGGTTAAGGAGAGAGAGAAAAGCCCCGGTTGGCCTAGGGAAGGGAAGTAGTAAAAAGGATTGTTCTTGATGAGCTAAGGAGAAAATAAAAAGCTTGTTGTGGATGTGTTTTTAGAGTTTTGGAATAAGGACAGGGAGAGTGTGTGTGTTGTGGGTTTATGAAAAGCTTGTGGGTGCAGAGAAAGTCTTAAATAAGGAGACTGTGTGTTGTGAGAGCGTGGAAAACAGATTTGTTTGGGAGAAAGGAGACGAGGGACATTAAGATGAAAAGGTTTTTATAGCCTTCAGAACAGAGAGTGATTGTGGGTTTAAGATGATGGTTTCAAATGAGAAGGTCGGGTTGTGCGGACAAGGAGAGCGAAAGCGTCATGTTAGGACCAACGAGTACAATTTAAAAATGTTCATGAGGGAAAAGAGTGTTGATTGACATGAGAGGACAGAGTGTGATAGTATGAGGGGGGGCCTTGGTTTCAGGACTGGGAAGCAGTCCGAAGGAGGGACAAAGTGATTGGCTGAGGAGGGAGGGGGAGTGTTTCAGGGCAGTAAGGAGTCTCGAGGACGTCTTGCAGAGGAGTGGACAAAGAGGCCAAGTGTGGATTGGCTGCGGCGAGAGAGTGTCTGGAGCTTTTCAGATCTTGAGGAAGCAGAAGAGAGAAAACAGCGAAAGAAGGGAGGGCTGGTAGGAAGAGGGGCGAATAAGAGGACGAGAAGGGAAGAAGGTGTCAGGCAAAGTCAGAGGGACAGTGGGCAAAAGTGTGAGAAAGAAGTCGAGATTTACTGTGTGGGTAAAAGCTGTGGCAAATGAAAAGCTGACAAAGGAGAAAGAAGGAAGAGCGAAGAAAACAAAGCCACCAAGGAGGGCAGGGTGAGAAAATTAGAAAAAACAAACACTCGTGGAATAAAGATTGACAGGGTCAATGAGAGGAAGAGCTGGTTAACAATTGACAAGTTTCTGCTGCCAGTCAAACGAAACCAGAATATCAACTGAGAGTGTGGTACTCCTCCCTCTCCTCCTTTTCCTCCTCCTCTTCATGCTGTTACTGGCCTTAACTGGCGGCGATTCACTGGGGCGCCACTACATCGCCATGTTCGAGGCCACGCAGAACGTCACGCTTAAGCCCACAGAGACCTGGAGGGAAGCGCTATTGGACACACGTGTCATGGACCTCTTCTTCACTGTAAGTATCCCGTCCATGCTGGATCTCTATTTTTCTTCTCAGAGCTCTACCAGCTTCTCAAATTTGTATTTTATTTTATTCTAATTTATTTTGAAGTGTTTGGTCCTGAATTTGAACCTTGAACCCTGATGTGAAGTATCATGAGTTCCTCTGCACACTTTCGCATGCATGAAGTTGTTACAGTAGCTTCTGATGAAACTTGTATAGCAATGGTTGCCTCCACCAGAATCACCACTACACCAGAAGACTTTTTCCCCCCAAAGTTTTCATCCAAAACAAAGTCATTTTTGTCTCTTTATTGTGTTGTTCTTGTCTCCTCCTTTCCTCTCCTGACCCCTAGAAGGCGGTTTATTTATTATAAGCAAAGAGAGAACTTGTCTTTTCATGTGGGGCAGAAGGATTTCGTTTGACCGCCTCGTTTTGGCACATCTTAAGTTTGCACTAGCTTTGTGGGTTTATTGAATGCACCATTAAGTAGATTTATGAGTGCTTTGCCGTGGGGTCGTGTTATTGTGTTACTGTCCAGAGGACCGCCCGGTGAAGTAAATGTGTATTTTTGTTCCGTGTGTTTTAAGAGACGGCCCACGCGGGCTGAGCACACAGTGCGGATGAGAAGATTGGAACAAGCTGGTCAGCTCTTCTTCCTTCCAGCATCCATCTATGCTCACTGGCAGCCAGTTACCAGATACTGCTTCACTGTACAGCCTTTCAGTTGCCTGCTGCCATATGTGGCTCCTTCCTTTTATCTTCCACCTGTCCTCTAAATCTCTACTAAATGCTACTGAAGCTGTGGGCTCTGTTGCAGACATACTGCCGAGAGCT